ACTATATGTGTGTGTGTGTGTGTGTGTGTGTGTGTGTGTGTGTGTGTTACAAATTTTTAATCCGATTAATAAGTTACTAAGCATTAATAAGTAGTTACTAAGATAGAACAATATTGGTATAATTCAACATCGAAGAAATCCTAAGAAATGCGAAGCAGTGTGTTTTGCTCCTGTCCATATGAATGCCAATGACCGAATGGTAGCGCGTGGAGTACGCGTAAACACGTGACGTACCAGACACGGAAACTCAAGGTTACAACAATAGTCTGGCTATGACGAAATTCAACACATATTACAAATCAAATTTAATTTCCACGAAGCATTATAGCATCTTTTAATAATGAAACATTAAATAATATAATCGTTAATCGTTATATTTTATCTTCTAAATCTCTGTTATCATACATTTGCTCTTTCATTTAGAATGTGTTTGTTTGAACGCTCATGTAAGCATTGTTTTATTTTTCTTTGATGTATAATAAATTGAATAATAAAAATAAAATAATGCTTATAGCGCACGAGCGTCCAAAACGAACACATTCTTAATAGACTCGGTACAATTTATTTGACATATATTTTATATAGTTTATCTGTTACAATAAACGATTGATACAATATATTAATTATACGCATCACAAAATGCAAATTACGTTTAAATCAGTGACAATTTCAAAACAGATCAAATAGATCAAATTAAATCATTAAAAATAGTCTCACGAAATACGCAACCTTTTCGCCTTAAAGCAATATCCGTATCATTTACAAAAATAAATTATCACTATGCTTCCAAAAATAAGCATTCATTAATAAATACAATTTAGTTCCGCCGCCCGGAATACTCAAATGAAACACGTTGTCTTTCGATACGTACATACATATAAATTCGACAAATTCATAAAACGCTTATAAACGTTTATTATAACATGCATCGGTGTGTGAACGTTATTTAAAATTCGTCGCGACTTCGTTTCGAAAAGAAAATGTAAAGATACGCGAAGCGATAATACTACGTATCTGCCCGCGCGAGCGTTGGTGTTTGAATGATAACGCGCTACGTCCGCGTATACCCATCGATTGTAAACAAGGCTGCGCGCTATTGTATCGTTATCTCAAATACATACATATAAAGGTTTCAATGCTATAATAAAATTAAATATAAGATACATATATATCTTTCTGTAAAACTTTGCATACAACGGAGAGAATATCAGGAACAGAATAAATACATATTAAATTTTGGAAATAAAAATCCGGAATAATGTTAATTAATATATGAGCATATAGTAATATATATATATATACATATATAATAATATATATATAATATATAATATATACATATATAATATATAATATATACATATATAATAATATATAAATATATACATATATAATAATTATATGGGATTTTAGTGGCGATTATATAATATGTGATGTAAATATTTTATATAAAAATAT